GTCAATTGCTTTTATGTTCTTGGTACAGAGGACTTCAGGTGGCAGAAAAATAAAAAGGGGAATTCAACATAAAAAGCCAGGTCTCCTCAAACAGCATGTGAATTCTGCCTCACAGAGAGCAAAGCAACCCTGTTCTGATTTTACCTGGGTCCTTGAGGTGTCTGTCCCTGGGAGCACTGTAAAACCATGGGCTATTTTCTATCATTAGCCTCTGACACCACAAGCACTGCCTAGGGGAGGCAGGCAGGCTGAATGCCAGCCATTTCTTAGCAAGGCTCTCATGCCTGTTTTGCTTCTCCAACCTCCTCCTCTGCCTTCCTTTAACAGCCACTGTGCTTTTCCGTCTCAGCGCATTTGGGCAGAGTCTCTGCCTTGCTGTGTCTTTGGATGCAGCAGTGATGGGAGCATCCTGAGCAGGAGAAGAGCTGTGGTCCTTCCTCTTTCTAGAGGTTCAAAGACTAAAGCCCAGCTCTCCAGGCATGCATGCAGCCTCATCACAACATACTGTAAACAATGGCCAGAATAAGATTTTGCAATAAAATTGACACTCAGCAATGAGGACCCTCTGAAAATTTAGCAGATTAGTGGAGAGAAAGAAACCGATGTGGGAGTGGTGAGTAGAGAGAAAAAGAAAAGAAGTGGAGGCATCCAAGCAGTTAACTTTTTGTAACAACATTCTTCTTGTTAAATCTCAAGTTAATCATCAGAAACGCATGTGCTGTGGCCTCTGGGAGAGAGATCTCCTATGCTGCAGCTGAAAAAAGCACACTTGTAAATCTCAGATGTTCACCTTTTCCACAGAAATATGCCCTATTGATGTATCTGATGCTGGTAGACTGTGACCTATTCAGAGACGTGAATATTAATGGAAAATGCTGAAAACCCACTTCTATGCCTCCACTGGAGGAAACATTTTCAAAGCATTTCTTCCAACATGGAAGAAATCTCATCTGACCCAGTTTCCTCCCCTGTTTGTTACCTCCTGGCTGTCTCATCTGAGGTTTCACCTGCTGCTTCTCCATCTGCCAGCCTTTTTTAGATCAGAGGAACCTTCTGAGTTACACATTAAATGTCAGGCAGGCTTGAGAAAAGTTATTTATGTCTGCATTTAAACAGATTATATTTTCTATTAAAAATGCAGCATGGAGATACTGAAGGCTAAGATCTCGTGTGCTGTTGGTTATCATAACTCAAGAGCAAGTCTGTTTACACGAAAAATGATGCTATTAGTTCAGACCTGCATATATCCAAGCAGAATGAAGATACCCTGTGAAGACCATTATTAGTGTATTTTCCAGTAATCTCGAAAGTCTCAAGCTAGGGGCCAAAAAGCACCAGATAATTTAGTCGAAGTCGCTAGAAGCCTTGTGTGGACTGAAATAAAACCCAAAACCTGTATCAGGGAACCATCTATTTTCTCCCCCTTACCTCCTAAGCAATTCCAGAGCAGAACACAAAGATTTAAGTTAATTAATATGTCAGTAAATATCAATTACCTGAAGGAATAATTCCCTCTAAGGTGGCAATACCTAAGGGCAACTACTCCATTCAAACTCAACATTTGAAGTATGCTGTACCATGTAGAATTTACAGTACAGTATTTTGCCAGCGTATAAGACCACAGTGCTGCTGAGAAAGCCTGGTGAGAGCTTAGCTGTGGGATTTTATGGTAATCTTTGCTTTTCTGCTACTTTTGCTATTCTTACATGTCCTGCAGAGGGACTTTGATCATCTGATCTCTGCCACCTCTGAATTCCATGCAACCTTAAGAGAGGCACCAGGACCGATCCACACCCATTTAAGTAAATGAAAAGAGTCCTTTTCCACGATTTAGGAATCAGAGCCCTGGAGCATCACCTCCACTGAGCACCATCTGACACAAAAAGTATCCTACAGCCAGTGCCTTAAGACACCCTAGAAGCAAGGTTTTCAGCAGTTATTTTCTCCCTGAAAATCACACAGAAAAGAACTAGAGACTTCTCACCTCAGTACGGACTGCCACACGTCAGTTGCATGAGAAGATCAAATGTATCCTGTCCTAAAACACTGACGTGAAGGCAGTGGGAATCTTTCCACTGATTTCAGTGAACTTTGGATCAAATCTTCGAGGCAATTAAGTAGTTCTACATGGTATATTCAGATTTTATGTTTACACACAGGTAGCCATCTATACCTGTCTTCTATTCTGCTCCTGGAAGAATTCCAGCTACTAAATGGACGGCCCTGAATTTCCGAGTCTCCCAGCTCTTGGAGGCAGAGGTCTCTGCTCCGAGTCTGCTGCCACTGACTGACCCATTGTCCATGCCAGATGCTTCCGTATGAGAATCACTGAGCCTAGACTGCCCATGCTAGGAAAGCCAGGATGAGTAAAAGATGTGCTTCCTGAAGAGATGCAGGTGTGTTGCTCTTCCTCGAGTTTAGGACATTGTAATTTATCTTAAACTGTCTGCAACTGTCTCGAGGGAAAGAAGGAAAGTCTTGCTGGTGGGAGGAGGGCATTGCTTGCCTTATCCCTCACATACAATGACTTGAAAGTCATTATGCTAAACGCACGTAACAGAAGTATTAACACTATGATTTACAGGAATAAAAACATTATTACAATGTGTCTAATTAGGAATCATTATAAGACCAATTAACGCTGTCAAAATAGAACAAAAAGCAACATATGTTTTTTCCCTGGAGTGCTGGGATATGGTGAGACACATTATTAACTCACAATATGAGGACAGAAGATTGCTTTCAGTTTGAGTTGAACTCTAGGCTCTTAAGGAAAAGATGGCTCTGAGGTGTATTCCTCTCTGGCAAGCATTGCTTAAGCAAATGTTATCACAACAGCAGAAGCATTTTTTATACCCAGGGCAGACACTGAACAATAGCTACGTACAGCAGAATCTATTTAGTTCAGCTTTAGCATCCAACACAATTCTGACATTTGCAATCCGCGTGTCAGTATTTATCTCACTGCAGGAAATAAGACAAGATGGCATTTACTTTACCTGGAAAGGATGGTTAGGCAGCCCTTAAGGAATCTAATTAAAATGCAGCTTGTTACCAGAGCAGTGCATCACACTGTGCTGCCATAGTAACCAGGGGTCCCATGGACTTTCAGGGCCATCTGAGGGCATGTTTGCAAGAGGCACGAGAACTAAACTGATTGCCTATAGTAAATTTTGAATGACCTGAAAACTCTGAATGATTTGCTGATGCTAATCTATGAAAGAAAATAATTAACTCCTACGTGCTCTGACAATGGGCCAGTCTCAGGAGTCAATTTATTCTTATTACTGTTTTTTATGACATACTGCTCCCCACAGCTTATTTAAGAAGTGCACAACTTATTTGAAAAATGTGAGCAACAAAACAGTTTAATTTGATTCTCTAATTTAGAAACAATAGAGCAATCAAGACTGGTGGGCTGTGGAAGAGAAGATGGACAACAGAAATACGTCTTCTACTTAGGCTGCTGTTTCCAGTGCTACTACCTGAACTATCAGGCATCTGACTGCTCTCAGTTGTTGCTCTTAGCGGATGAGTTCCCCCTAGCACGCTGGGAAAAATCACATTACAGCACTGGGCTTTTCTTCCCAAACCCTTCTACTAGAACAGTAGGACCTTTAGAACAGAAAGATACCTAAACAGCATTGATAATTATAAAAGCAGTATCTTGCATTGTGCCCTGTACTCATATTAATTTTCCATGGACTCAATCAATAAATTTGCCACAGAGGCATTAAGATGAATTTTAATAGTAAAGATGTCCAAGACGAGATTATTTTGACACATTGCCTGTGAAGAAGACTGCAAATTGTTAGTGGGTTGTTGCAGGTGATCATGAAAGATTTCTGCAAAAGAGTACAGGACTGTAGGCTTCATTAAGCAATTTAACTATTGATGAAAATACTCGCAAATTGTTTGAAATGATCAAGGGGATTTTTAACTGCTTTGGAAAAAGAGCTTGATAGCAATTTTTCTGAAATAAATGAATTTCCTTAGAAATATGGGGTTGGGACTGGGGGATGACATGAGAAGTTGAAGCATCAGTCTTCCAAGCATCGTGAAACCAGTATGGTCACGTGATTTTGGCTCATGGTACTACACCATTAGCTCTAACAGTACACAGCTGGGATGGGTACATATCTAGTAAGGTCTGCTCCAGGCTGGGCATGCTAATACCAGGAACGTTGCAGAAAGCCAGAAAGGAGCTCAGTTCAAGAACAAGTTGAGACTTCAGCCTCCGGGCTTTTGAGTCTCTTTTTGTACATACCAGTGACACGCATTATGTGGTTGTTCCTAAGTTTCCCCATTTTTAAAAGCAGACAATAATACTCCCCTGTTTTAAGATCTGTGTCACAGAACATTGTAAAGACTAGCTGTAAGCGAAGTACAAAATCCTGCTCAGGACTAGAGAACCTTAAATGAAAAAATACCCACTGTATTTTTCAGGTTAGAGGCAATATTTGATCCAAAATAACAGATAATAAAACATTAGAGAAGAAAGAACATCTCACATTTAAATCTTTTTACTACACGGAAAAGTATCCAGGCAACATAATAATTAAAATTACCGTGTCTAAAAACAGACAGTAGGCTGTACTTTTGCTAAACGGGACTCTACAGAAGACATATTGATTGCAACTAGTCCATCACTCCTCCGTATAGCCCAGCGTTTTAACAACCTTGAAACAGTAGTTCTTCAAAGGGCCTCACGATTTCCTGATAATCTGCTGCAACCCATTATTATTAGCGTCATTCACTCTCGGGTTCTCCTTGCAACAGAAAGTTTATTAGCACTACAAATGAATCTATTTTGTCAACAATTTACTCCAGCTCAGACAACAGCCCTGATACTCTCATTCTGCATCCTGTTTTTGGTATAGACTGGGCTTCCATTTGCAGGTTTTGTTTCTCCAGTTCCTTCACAGGAAGCAACACAGTCTGAATGCTTTAACATGGAGAGGAAAGAAGGTGTTATAAATCATCACTAATTTAGAAGATCATTTTAATGGGTTACATTTTATTTGCTTCAGTTGAACACCATTATTTACAGACACAAGTTAACAAAACACATCACAAAACAATATATTTTCAACAGGTAATATTTATAGGTGCATAGTTCATGCTCAATTACTTTTTTTTTAATATGTATAATACATACACATATATATAAAGCTCCCACAATAAGTCGTCTCTGCACAGAAAGAATAGTCATAGGAAACAAATAAAAATTGTATCATAAACAATATCAAATTACTGACAGCCTATCAACAAAACATGTACAGAGTTAGAAATAAGCAGTAGACACTTAGGTGTTTTTAATATTTTCTTTTTCAACTTTTAAACTTGAAGCCACAATATCCACAGCACAACAATGACCCTGCCATCCAGCTTTCATTTCAGCAGGGGGGAAATGCTGAAATAAGGTGGATGCAGTCACAGATACTTCAATCATTGCTGATGGAAGACTTCAAAATACACTGTAAAAACTGTAAAAAAATTTTACGACTGGGCACATTGGAACTCAGCACTCGTACAGGATGGGACTTCTTTAGTAGTTAGTAGATTTCAGAAGATATAAAGGAAGGAAAGGATTCTCATGCTTCAGGTTCATAGTCTTGATACTCTTCCTAATGAGGAGAGCAGAAATCAGCACTGCTAGTATTTTAGATAAATGCATCACACTTTCACTGCTTGTTCTAGTCCTAGTGGATTCAGTGCCAAAATATTACGGATTTTCTTGGGATCAGGATCTTGCCATTTAGAATTACTTTGTCACATCTTCGAGATACTGTACCTTACAAGCTGTGGTATTTACAGGAAATTTAGGCTTTTACAGCGGTTAACATGCCATTCAGCTGATGTTGCCAGGAACTCATAAGACCACTGATGGCAATTCATTTGGAGAGGGAGGAGGACCACCTCTGGGCTGAACAGCACACCAGGTGATGCAGATACTCGTACGAGTCAGTAAATTATTTGAATGTCTGTTTAACTATGGGTACACGAGCAGCCCCCATAATTTCAGTGATATTCAAGGTGTTGGTGATCAAGCGGGCCTTTTAAGTCTTTTACTGGATCGTGGTCGAAATGCTTTATACCTCTCATTTTCAGCCTAATTATCTATGTTACTGTAAAAATGCCACTCCAACTGCCAAAGCATCATGCCAGATATTGTAATAATACTTTAGACAGCAAGTTCATGAAACACAACAAAATAATTTGCTCCCATAATTTCTTTAACCTAAGAGTATAATAATGAATTATGATGTTTTATAAAGCATGATGCTTTGATAAATGGCCAAGCTATTAAAACAACCTATGAAGATCCAGTTTTTCTCTTATTCCCTATCAAACATAGGAAAAAGACACAAGTTTGCTGTGGATTACTCAGAGACCCAGGCACAAGTGGTTTGAAAGACACACAATATTTTCCTATTAAACTTCCTTACTATCAAGAAAGCAATGGATTTTCTGATTCCCAGCACTATACCTCTGGGAGATTTTGGCCAAAGTGACTGCGTTTCTGCTGCGCCCTTGCAGCTCATCCACCAGCCTGCGCCAGGCTGACGTAACTGGAGCGTGCAGCCCCGTCCTGTGTGCTTCTCCTATGTGCATTCACAGCAAACATCACAACAGATTTACCTCTGGAGGCATTTCATAAGCCTCATTCTCAGGGTCCACAGGAACATCTGTATTATTCACCATTCCCTCCTGCAGGAAACCTTCTTCATTCTACATTTAAAACAGGGAAAGAAAAGTGACAGACTGTAACTACTTGCCTTGTCATTTATGTCAAAGTGTGTCTTTCCTCCCCATCACTGGTTGACTTCTTGGCCTGTCCTTTGGTTGCAGGATGTTGCCAGGGGTTGTGAAGAGCTAGAAGACACCAGGTCTAGAGAGATCTTCTCCCTTTTCCACAGGGGTATCCATGGGAATGCCTACTACCATCTTTCTGAATAGCTGAAGTGCTCGTACCCCATTTCTCTCTTGCCAGGGACAGGCCAAGAAGACAATTTGAACAGAACAATAGTACCACCACCAATCTGCTGAATATCTTTAGAAAATATTTTAATCCCACAGAAAACGCTTTGGTGAAGTCATGAAACAAATCAACCAAGTTTTTTGCTGCTTAAGAAACTGATCTGGGAAACATAGTCCCACACAAATTATTTAAGTAGGTTATCACATCAATTTCTGTTTAACTACTTGGGGGAACAGAGTCATAGGTATGCAAAAGTATTTGTAAACGCAGGCCAAAAGAATTGTGTAGTGTCAAGACACACAAATGAAATAGTGATTCAGTTATATATTTTTCAATGTTAGTAATACAATTACATAGTTTTTTCATGTTCTAGACACAACAATGCTCTCATAAATATGAGTTTTGCCAGAACAATGACTGATGTCATTCATCTTGAACTGCAAGAAAATTGGTATGAAAACAGGCAGAGTAGCTCAGTGGAAATATTGTGACCATGCTGATTTATACAAATTGCCAATCTAGACAGAAATGTACTAAAAAACAACTACAGACACTCCAGAAGAAATTCACTTAAAAAAACCCCTGCAGGCTGGTAGTGTAGACAGAAATACAAAATTAATTAAGTCAGGAACCAGACTAAGGAGGTAACTATTCAAAGACTGCAATTTATAAGATAGTGATGCTAAATTAAATTTAGGATATAGATAAAATGAGGATAAGAGAAGCTAAACCTGAAACTCATCTCTGTGAGTTTAAAACAAAATAGAAAATGATACACAAAACAGGCAGCACTAAACCCTCTTTACCTTCACACAGTATTTATCATGCTTCTGCTGTTCACTGTTTGCCACGTATCAGCTCCCTCTGCAGTTTAACCAGGTGAGCTTAGTCATAATACTTTGTTCCTCACTTGCTGCATCTCTCCATCCACAAATCGTGACTTTATCTGCCAGATATGAATCCCGTTTTTTGATGCATGTGCACTTACATGTGTTTTTCACCCTCAAAGTCCATGAAGTGCAGAAATTATTTCCATAACAAGGATTCTTCTCTCTAGCACTTACTTCAGACTTTAAAAGGTCCAGTATGAAGATATCTGGTCCCATTGCTTCTCAGTGGGGCCAGACATGCTTTTTCCTTCAGCGGTAGAAAGTATAGTCCGTGTGGAGTCAATGCCTACTATTCTGCCAAGTTCCCTCCATGCACGTGCCTGCTATCAGTTAACACCCTGTGCTGGTCTGTGGCATACTGAACATGGACAGATTCCAAAAGTCAAGGGACATAAATGAATAAAGTTTCTAATATTTTTATTTAGGCCTGTGTCTTCCAGAAGAACTAATAATTTTGTGTGTTCAATGTGACAGGTAACTTTTCAAACAGGAAATTATCTGAAAAACTGGGCCTAATTACAGTTCTGCCCTGGCTTATCAAAAGACTCCAGCTCCTAAAGATTATTTGATGTGCAACATTTAATTACCCTAGCTTCTAAATAAATTTTTAGCAGTGTTCATGCCTACTTATTTGTATGAGAAATAGCATCAATCCCTGTCAGCTTTGACTGAAATAGCTGAATGGTGTGCGCAATGCAAATTTTAAAGCTGAATGTGCACTTGATCTAACATATCAGCTCTAAGGACCTACAGCTCCAGTCTACTGCTCTCCTGTTTAATTCAAAATATAATTTAATTTCTGTTTCCCCCTATCATTAAGGAACAGCTTTGGCTAACAATCGGTACATCAAGTAAAACAGTGCACAAAAACAGTCTTGATGTTGCATGAGGAAGAAAGAATCCAGCTTAATGTTATCTGTGGCAGAAAAACAGATGGCAAGTGAAACTGCCAGGGCCATTAGTAACAATGAAGAAAAAGATTTGCCAACCGAATTTCAAAGAGGAGCTTCAAAGCTCGTATGCTGCTCGTTTGTTAGGCACCTCTGCCATGGGTCTGGCCTGTCCCTCAGGATTATGGAGACACAATGCCTAAAAAAAGCTGAATTCATCATCTTCTCAACTTCCTTCAGTGAGTTCAGGATGGAGATTCCTCTACAGCCTCATATGAAACAATCAGCAGCACTTGTAAAATACCACATCAATCACAACACCAGTATTTTTTCAATGAAACAAATCATAAGCCATACCAAACCATCAAGGGAATTCTTTGCCTGTGAAAGGCTTATCACCTTTGTCCAGCTGCAAACAGTAGCACAAACACTATCTTTCATGTTGATGTCACTGCAGTTCAGATAAGAATGATATTACTTAAGGTCACACTTGTTACATTTAAACGTATAGCATAGGCGACCCCATCATTTTTAATGGTGGCTCTCTCTGCTTCTGATGTACTGCCCCTCCAAAGTCAGGATATCACAAAAGTAAACAACCACCCCCAGTAACACAGAGCCATCTAAGGTACACCTTATATCATAATTTACCTCCTTTAAAACAAGGAAATGCAATTTTTAATTCTCATGATCAATAATTCCATATCCTAATTCAGTTATAGAAGAGGAAAAACACCCAATAGACCAATTCTTTCCTTGGTATGAAAGACACATTCTTCTCTTGAAGCTGCCACCTCTATTCTTAAATCATATAGAAGGGCATTTCTAGAAGGAAAGCATTTTATTAGAAGGTCTGAAAAGCTAAACAAAAGCTTCTCAGAGATGAAGTCAGTGTTTAACTGGGGAGCAAGAGCTCTTTTGCAGGGAAAACACTTTAAATGGGGAAAACTACAAGTCACGCAACGAACAAGAAAGTAAAAAAAAAAATCACATCCAGTAGCATTATTACCTTGCAAAATTACCATGCACTGATAGATTAGAGTAAGGGTAGTATTGTCTTACACTGTATTTCCAAGCCGTGTGCAGACCGAGGACAGAATTGGCAGAGAGGTGGGATATGATGCTTCGTGAACAAGCCCAGACAGTGGTTCCTGACTTAACAACAGAAAGGACAGTCCCATCTGGGAATGTGGCACTCCCTGAGCTCGTCAACTGGTCCAGGTAGCTTGTCCAGAGAAGAAGTCATGCCTGCCTCCTGCCTGTCTGCCTGACATCCATTATCATGCACATCTTTGAGAGCCCAGACATGAAGTCCAAGCCCAGTACTAGTGAATTATTGAATTTGCAGTTATTACTGTCTGGATTATTGTACTACTGACCTGTCTTTATTACCACACCATTATTTAGAGATGAACATAACTCAACAGGGCTGCCTTAAGCCCTTACAACAGGTAACTGAGTATCCCTACAGCCTGACTAAGTCCATTTCATATTGGTATTATGCATCCTGTAAGAACTTTATTTAGGAACTGTCAGTCTTTATATGGTAGAGCTTAACGAAAAATTTCAGGATTCCTTTTGTATAACCTCAGCACAGTTTTTATGCATACAGTCCAAACTCCTCTTTTCCTACAAGAGAAATAGCAGTTTGCTGTGCCAATGGGATTAAAATTCCCCTTTGAAAAGAAAATAATTTATATTCTTTTTTTCTCCACCAAATATCAGGATACCTATCAGCTGGATATTGGACCCAAGTGAACAAGTAACTGCCTTTTCCATTTGGTAACTTATGCTTTTACATAAAGCCCAATTTACACGATAGGAAAAAAATCCTTGAACAAAACAGCAAATTCCCAAAACATGCAAGACAAAGATATACTAAAATGGCCTCAATTTAGTTACTTTCCTAGTCCTGAAATACTAAATATGTGGAGTTGATTGGTTATAACTGAGTTGCAAGGTCAGTTTGGGATGCCCTAAAGCTCCCGCTCACTTGTTGCAACAGTCAGTGCCTCCTCTCCTGCAGCTGGAAGACTCCGCTGTGAATGACACAGCATCAGCATAGTGATTTTACTCTGGATGCAGAGAGAGGAGATGTATCTGTGCACTAGCTAGAAAGAAGTAGAATGTTTTAATTATCCCTAAACTATACACTTCAGTAAAGGAAATGATGACAAAGCATTATGTGTGAAGGAAACTAGCTGTTCCAGCGCACAAATCATTTAAAGTACCAATGATGAAGCGGGACTACCTCCCATGTTCTCCCTAAACAGAGAATGAAAGTGAAGAATAGACATTTAATTAAAAAAACAAATGTCAGCACGATAGCACAATTCCAATGAAAGGCTAACGTAGCATCTGCAAGTGCTACAGGTTGCATTTTGATTCATGTTTTTATGCCCTTCAGTTCAATGACGAAAGTGAAAAGGATATAGACTGAGGCCTATGGAGAGAGGAACGAACGTGAAGACTGTCGAAGTGTCTGTGGTTACAAGTCCATCTTGGTGTCTATAAATAGCTGGAAAGACTTGCAATTTATGAACTGTTGCAAATTCCTAGGAAAACAAATTTCAATACAATATAGATGGTGTTTATTTTTGTTTCTTTTCTTTAAAATTACCCATTTAGTATTACTTGTAAAGAAGAGACTCAACTCAGTTCAGAGTACAGCAGGAACAGTTCTGGGAGCTGTCAACTTTCCTCAAACTCAGATTCATGATTTGCATTAACCAGGCTGGTAAACTATCTGATTAGAGCTGCTGGTATGGTGTTATTTGCTGATAACTGAATGCGAATTACACGGACAACCCGCCCATCAGCCAGGTCAGACCACCAGGTCATGGACACACACAGTAATTACAGTTGACTTAAAATAACAGTTTGCCTAGGGGCTGAGTCAATGTGCCATCAGTAACACATGCAAATGCATCTAGAACACACAGCCCTTTCAGCTTATTCCTTTTCAGCTTC